CCTATGCTCCTATGATGCTGCTTGGCCTGCTGTGTTCATCCAGCTCTACACCTTGTTATCTCACTGGTTGGAGACTGCTCTGTGTCCATTTTATAGCTGCAGTTCCTCAAGGAAATCACAGAGTGGCAGCACCAGCCTGGGTCTGAACTTTGGTTTCTCTCAAAAGGGAGTTTCAGGAGTTGGGGGTTGGGTGGGGGCTATCCCTGAAGACAGTCTAGGGGTGGCATTAAAATGGCTGGACGGGTTCGGGTTGCAGACACAATCACCAGGTGAACTGAGAATTTGGAATATCCTTTATAGTCACATGTACTCAAGTACAGAAGTACAGTGAAAAGTTTATTATGTTGTCCCATGTGGTACCGTCTTAGGTACAAAATACCTAGGTACAGAACTTAGATACAAAATAGAGAAATAAAGGGAAAAAAGGAAAAATGCTACATTACTTAGAGTTATTCATAGGTTAAGTTAGAAAAAAATGAGAAATAAAGTTACGTTAAGCATTACAGTCTTTCTATAAAGGACCTGCAGTAGATCACTGTGGGGGCCGGGGGGTGGGGGGGGGAAACGTCCACACTTGGTCTAACCAGTTCACAAGCTGTTGACTGCCCACCCTGGTCTCCAGTCCAAAAACCGTCCCTGCTTCAGTAGAGCCCAGCCCATGGGGTTACTAGTGGTGGAGCAAGGGCTTTTTGAATTGTGTGCCAGGCCATTCAGGGATGGTGTACTCTCCACCTCAAAAAAAACTGTTGACATTGGGGAGGGGGCTGATGTCAATTGAAAATGTTAAAATGGTGATGAATTAATTGCGTTGGGTAAGGTGATAAACTATTACAGAGCCTGAAGGTTAATTGAGTTCAGGTACATATCTGCTATTATCTAGTTAACTCCAGTGGAGCAGGTTTGATGGCCTGAATGGCCTCCTCCTATTTCTCAGTATGTCCTGTGGCCACATAACTCCATGATTTGTTAAAAATAATGATTATTAAGCACAGATCAGTAAAATGTAACGTGAGGCAGCTGTCCTACTGATCGCACAGAAATCAAGCTGCTATTAAAAGAACCCAAAAAAACTGTGAATGCTGAAAATCAGAAACAAAAACAGAAATTGCTGGAAAAACTCCAGTCTTTACTGAAGGAAGTTGGAATGTCTTCTCATTGCTGAGTTTTAAGAGGGTAATTTGAAAATGATTTCACTCATATTACAGAGTAAAATCAGGTAAGTTGCAATAATAGGACGGTGGCACAGTGGTTAGCACTGCTGCCTCACAGCCCTAGGGACCCAGGTTTGATTCCACCCTCAGGTGACTGTCTGTTACGGTTTCCTCCCATAGTCCAAAGATATACAAGTTAGGTGAACTGGCCATAGTGTCCAAGGATGTGTCAGTTAGCCATGGGTTACAGGAATAGGGTAGGTAGGCAGGTCTGGGTGGGATACCATTTGGGGGCTTGTTATGGGCTGAAGGGCCTGCTTCCACACTGTAGGGATTCTATTGCACAATACAGTCAAACCCAAACTCATCAGCTTCTTACTCACTGTTCAGTTCAATTTACCCCTTAGACATTTTCTATGTAAACATGTTTGGCCAATTTCAGTTCCATTTTTACTGGGCATCCTCAACAGGGCCATGATTTTAAAGTGGAATGCAGGAGGTTTATAGGGGATTTGTGGAAATAGTTATTCACCCAGAGGGCACAGGGGAGTCTGGAAAGCACTGCCTGGGAGGGTAGTGAGGTGGGAAACCTCACAGCCTTTAAAAAGTACTTGGATGAGCAATTAAAATGTCATAACATTCCTGGCTATGGGTCTAGAGTGGGAAAGTGTTGGTGATCATGACAGTAGAGACTTAATGGGCTGAAGGGCCTCTTCTGGACTTTTGATTCATGATTCGATGATTTCTAACATTCTACAATTGGGTCAAATCAGCAGCACAGTGACCAGGCAAAAGCAGCTAAATCCTTTCTCTGTGAAGCATCAGGGCTGTGAATATAAGCAAAAGAAACCCAAAGTTATATTTGGCTTTGTGCAGAACGTTGTGTGTCTAAGCTTATTGATGCATAGGGCAGATTAACCTCCTCATCAAATAGACATTGGCTTCAACTGAAACCTTTGAAAGGGACTTGAATCATTCCCAATAGGACAACAAGAGGAGAAATGTGGATTTGTTCAGTAACAAAATGAAAAGATGCTGAAAGAAGTGCTGGATGCTGCTGAGGCTGTGTCCTTTTCTCCTTCCCACCCTCTGAGGCCCGTATAAATTAACAATGAGGTTCCTCAATCAGACAGTCATATCACATACCGGGAAAGCACAGGGTCACAATAAGGTCACACCACCCCACCCCACCAACACACACAGACACACACACACACATACCTCTGTGGACTTCCTCACTCAGAAAGAACCTGCAGTTAGATTGTGTTAGACTTCAGGAGCAATTCATTGCGAAGCTGTCTTTGTGGCCTTTATGAGTGAAACCTCTTCTACATTTTACGCAATTCACTCCCATGAATTGCACAGTTCCGGAGCTGGTGATGGTACTTTGATGGTGATGGTTAGTCTAAAACCCTGCTCTTTCCCCATTGGCCTGTGAATGGTCCCTGTTGAACTATTTCTTGTGATCCTGTTTGAGATTAACTGGGAGGCAGCAGGTTGGAGGATGGGAATGGTCACATTTAGTTTGATGTTGATTAATGGAGGAAGGGTGAGGGGACCTGAATCCTTGACATTGCATCATGCTGTAGGATTTAATAAATGCTGCCTGACTGCCTGCAACAAGCTAAAAGGAAGGACTAGTAACAGTTAGCTCCACGGACTATCAACCAAATGAATAATGATTAATGTCCAGGGGAATATCGTCAGCTGAACATTCAGTGAGGCCTCTACCAGTGTCCCACACAACCTCAGTGAGAGACGGGCAGACTCCTGGATGATGATGAAGGAGTGTGTGGCAGGATCAGCATTAGGCTTAACAGATTGCTGGTCACTTTTCAATACAAGGTCAGGACCAGGGCCCGAGAGCAGGGACAGAGAGACAGAGAAGGAGGGGCTGGGATGGGGATGGTCAGGGTCCCTGAGGATGCAAGATATTTGAGGCAGGTCCACTTCACCAAGTGAGTCTCCGTGAGAGTCCATTCTGGTCGCTGACGTGGGACCAAAACACCCAAGAGATAAAAAGAAAAACCACTGGAGTCACGGTCCTATCTGTATCACACCTTTCCTTTGACAGGTCATGCCAGACCACTTTACTTTATTCATCCACTAGAATGAGTGTCACTGACAAGACCTCCACCACTTCCAACATCCACTCCCTCCACCACCTCCAACATCCACTCCCTCCACCCACCTCCAACATCCACTCCCTCCACCACCTCCAACATCCACTCCCTCCACCACCTCCAACATCCCACTCCCTCCACCACCTCCAACATCCACTCCCTCCACAACATCCACTCCCTCCACCACCGACGCTCAGTAGCAGCAGTGTGTACTATCTACAAGATGTACTGCAGAAATTCACCAAAGATCCTCAGACAGCACCTTCCAAACACCCAACCACTTCCATCTAGAAGGACAAGGGCAGCAGATATATGGGAACACCACCCCCTGCAAGTTCCCCTCCAAGACACTCACCATCCTGACTTGGAAATATTTCGCTGTTCCTTTACTGTCACTGGGTCAAAATCCCAGAATTCCTTCCCTAAGGACATTGCGGGTCAACCCACAGCAGGAGAACTGCAGCGGTTCAACAAGGCAGCTCACCACCACCTTCTCAAGGGGCAACTAGGCACAGGGCAATAAATGCTGGGCCCAGCCAATGATGGCCACATCCCTGAGTGAATTAAACAAAACAGTTGACATTTTATCTTCAGGTATGCCTGGTGCTGTTCCTGGCATGCCCTCCTGCACTCTCCATTGAACCAGGGTTGATCCCCTGGCTTGATGGTAATGGTTGAGTGGGGGATATGCCGGGCCATGAGGTTACAGATTGTGCTGGAGTACAACTCTGCTGCTGTTAATGGCCCACAGCACCTCATGGATACCCAGTCTTGAGTTGCTGGAACTGTCAAAGTCTGTCCCATTTAGCACGGTGATAGTGCGACACAACACAATGGAGATTATTCTCAATGTGAAGAGGACTGTGTGATGGTCACTCTTACTGATACTGTCATGGACAGATGTATCTGCAGTTGGCAGATTGGTGAGGATGAGGTCAGGTATGTTTTTCCCTCTTGTTGGTTCCCTCACCACCTGCCACAGACCCAGTCTAGCAGCTCTGTCCTTTAGGACCTGACCAGCTCAATCAATAATATTGCTGCTGAGCCGCTCTTGGTGGTGGACATTGAAATCCCCCACCCAGAGTACATTTTGTGCCCTTGCCATCCTCAGTGCTTCCTCTAAGTGTTGTTCAACATGGGGGAGTACCGATTCATCAGATGCTGTGGGTGGTAATCAACTGGAGGTTTTCTTTCCCATATTCAGCAGATGCTGTGATATTTGATGGGCTCCATACTCAATATTGAGGATTATTCCCTGACTGTATCCCACTGCACTGCCACCTGCAGTGGGATTGTCTGCCAGTGAGAATGAGATTCCATGTGGAGGACCATGTTGAGCTGTTGCTTGGTCAGTTCGGTGTTCACAGTATTCCAGCTGTGGTCTTACAAGTGCCATGTAAAGTTATAGCAAAAGCTCTCTGTTTTATACTCCATTCCTTTAGAAGTAAAGACCAACATTCCATTCCCTATTACCAGCTGAACTTATCTGGCAGCTTTTTATCATTCATGGGCAAAGACTCCCAAATCCCTCTGTTTGATAGCTTTCTCCATTTAAACAATATTCAGCTCCTCTATTCTTCCTGCCAGATAACCTCCGATTTCCCTACATTATATTGCACCTAACAAGTATTTTGCCCATCCATTTAACCTGTCTATATTCCTCTTCAGACTGTTTGTGTCATCCTCGCTATGTTTATTCCCACCTATTTCAGTTCACCGATGGTAGGAGCAGGATGGCAGCAGAGTAGGACGCTCCTGTTGGAGTTCCTCCACTCCACCTGTTCTTTTTCCTCCTTTTACGTTTTTTTCTCTCTTTTTCCTTCTTCTCTCGCCTTAGTACTGGAGGCAAATACCGCAGCGACAGGTGCCAGCAGCAAGTCCCCAGAGCAGTGAGCCCTGCAGCAGTGCGTTGGGAAGCAGCCCCAGGGCATTGCACAGGCAGTGAGTCCCCAGGGCCTGCAGTGAGAGCAGGAGCAGGCAGCCCCAGGGCCTGCGGTGAGAGCAGGAGCAGGCAGCCCTAGGGCCTGCGGTGAGAGCAGGAGCAGGCAGCCCCAGGGCCTGCGGTGAGAGCAGGAGCAGGCAGCTCCAGGGCCTGCGGTGAGAACAAGCAGCCCCAGGGCCTGCGGTGAGAGCGGGAGCAGGCAGCTCCAGGGCCTGCAGTGAGAGTGGGAGCAGGCAGCTTCAGGGCCTGCGGTGAGAGCGGGAGCAGGCAGCCCCAGGGCCTGCGGTGAGAGCGGGAGCAGGCAGCTCCAGGGCCTGCGGTGAGAGCAGGCAGCCCCAGGGCCTGCGGTGAGAGCAGGCAGCCCCAGGGCCTACGGTGAGGGTGAGGTTAAGCCTTGTGAAGAATGCGAGCCCAGCATGGCCAGGTGATGTTGAACCATTAACTGTGTTTCTTCATTTTTCTACACTTTAGTAAGAAGGACTGTAACGTTTAGCTTCTTAATTTGCTTTCTTTATGTTACTGCTTTGTACTAAGATTCTGTGCCTAGGTACATTTGTACCTAAGATGGCGCTGTAAGTGATGGCTTGTAAACTTTTCACTGTACTCATGCGAGTGAGTAGATGTTACAATAAGATCTAATTCTAATTCTATTTTTGTGTCATCTGCAAACTTGGCTATCCAATTATTCCTGTGTATCTGTGAGGGGTCTGTTCCTGAGGAAGATGAAATTCACAAGTGCTGAGTGCATTAAAAATGGGTTAAAATGGTTAAGAATGTCACGGATGAGTGATTTTTGCTCGTGGATGTTGATTTTTGTTGTTACCTATTTTTTGGCACAAATAAGCAAACTTGTGATTTGTGATTTCTCGGACACAGGGGATTTACTGCAGCACATTCATTTTCCTCCTCCAAGTCGCTTATATACATCGTAAACAATTGTGGCCCCAGCATGGATCCCTGTGGCACTCCACATGTTACAGTTTGTCAGCCTGAAACTGCACCCCATCTCTGTATTCTATTAGTTAGTCAATCCTCTTTCCACACTAATACAGTCGGTTCTGATATAATGCAATAGTTCTGTTCTCATGCGATCTCGCACTATACAAAAATCGCACAATAAATGCAATATTTAAAGTGATGAGGATGGAATCGCATTATAGCCAATACAGGTTGGGCAAGTTTACATTCTACAAATAGCATTCGATAATTCTTCAATCATATTAAAACCAATCACGTTGAAGAAACACTTGTTATATCAGAACCAACTGTGCACTACCCCAAAACCATGGGCTCTTGTTTTATCAAGTAGTATCATGTGTGGTACCTTATTAAACACCTTCTGAAAATCCAAACATATTACACCTCCTGTTTCCCCTTTATCTATCCCACTTGTTATTTCATTAAAGAATTTCAATAAATTTTGTACAGACTTAGATCCACACTCTGCTGCTTGGCAATGTCATCTGAAATCACTGCTGCAATTTTCATATTGATGCACATAGTTCTACCTTGTCAGCACCTCACACCGACCATCAACTGCCCTGGAACGGTCAGGCTGCTTATTTGACATCCACTCATTCTCACTGTACTGTATGGGAGGTCCCTGCTCCAGCCTCCATTCCCTAGATACCAGCTCCAGCCCTGTCCCAAGCAATAAAGTCAGTTTATTCACAACATTTCTCACATTTGACCATGAGATCATCTTTCAGTATCATACTGGGGCCATTACTGTGACTGTCAGCTTCCACCATCGCCCGACTTCACCCCCCCCCCCCCGCTCATCTACTTCATCCTAAAACCCTCACTCTCAGCTTAGTTACCTCTCAACTCAATGAGTCTAGGATCCCCTCCATCGTCCCCAACCACCACTCTGTTGGCTGCACAGTCATATTCTGTTTTTCTTAAACTTGAGATCATCCAAACTCTTGATGCCCAAATCTTAACTCATAGCAAACCGTTCTGTGATTCTGTAAAATTTTGGTGAACCTACCACTTCTGCACTCACCGCACTCATTGGCTGTGGGTCAAGCAATGCCTTAATTTTAGAAATCTCATCTTTGTCTTCCATCTTACCCAACTCCTTCTGAGAGGGTTGGTTCTGCATTTAAGATTCAAATCCCAGCAAGAACAAAATGCTGGATCCAATGATTATTTAATTATTCTGTTCAATCATTTCTGGAAAATGCAAATTCTTGTCATACAATCTATTCAATTAAAAGGTTGTTTTAAATTAAGGAACTTGCATTTATTTCATCTCTCAGGGGTCTCCCAAAGGATTTGCCTTGCACTGAATTCCCCTTGAGAATTATGGCGACAAATTAAGTAACCTTTTACATCTTCAGTGTTTTAAATTGGCTTTGAAGCTTATTAAGTACTTTTTTTGAAAATAGTTACTGTTGTAATGTAAGCAATGCAACAGCTGATTCAAGTACAGCAAGATTTTGGAGTAGATCTGTAGCTCAGGTTGTGGGTGTTGTGGTTGGTTGGCTCGCCGAGCTGGTTTGTTGTTCCGCAGATGTTTCATTACCGTGCTTGGTAACATCCTCAGTGCAGCCTCTGATGAAGCATCAGTGTGTTTTCCCGCCTGGTTTTTAAACTCTGGGGTCCATTGCGACAGATTGCCTCACTTGCGGGTTTCCTCCATAGTGGAATGTATATGGGGTCGAGTTCAATGTGTTTATTAATAGCCTGCTTCGTGGAGTGCCATGCTTCCAGGAATTCTCGTGCTTGTCTCTGCCTAGCCTGTCCCAGGTGTTGTCCCAGTCGAAGTCGTGGTTCTCCTTGTCCATGTGGATTGAGATGAGTGAGTATTGGTCGTGTCTTTTTGTTGGTGTTCATGTACTCTTGTTGTTAGTTTCCGTCCTGTTTGTCCGATGTAGTGTTTCTCGCAGTCTCTGCAGGGGATCTTGTCGATGACGTTGGTCCTGTCCATGGTGGCGAGTGGGTCTTTAGTTCGGGTGAGCACTTGTCGTAGGGTTGATGTGGGTTTGTGTGCCACTCTGATGCCCAGCGGTCGTAGAAGTCTTGTGGTGAGTTCTGACGTGTTCCTGATGTAGGGTAGTGTGATGAGCGTCGGGGTGTGTAGAATCTTTCTGATGCTGTTCCTGTAGGCATCTCCTGACCCAGTTCTTTGGATATCCATTATCCTTGAACACTTTGAAGGGGTATTCCTCCTCCTCTTGGCGTAGTTCCATGTTGCTGCAGTGTGTTGTTGCCCTTTTAAATAGCATTCGCACGCAGCTTTGTTTGTGTGTGCTGGTGTGGTTACTATTGTAAATCCTCGAATTCCTTTCAAGTCCCTGTCCAGACAGCATCCCCCATGTTGATGGCATCGCTACAAACAGCCTCAGTACTCAATACCAACTACTGCCAATTTCCATACGCCATCCTACAACTCATCCGCTTCATCCTCCACCACGTCTTCACCTTCAACAACCAGTTCTTCATCCAGGCACATGGAACAGCCATGGGAACCAGATTTGCTTCCCAATATGCTAACATTTTCAGGCACAGATTCAAACAAGACTCCTTTGCTGCACAGGACCTCTGACCAACGCTATACACCAGATACATCGACGACATTTTCTTCCTTTGGACTCATGGCGAGGAATCACTGAAACAACTACATAGTGATATCAACAAGTTCCATCCCACCATCAGACTTACCATGGACTACTCCTCAGAATCAGTCTCATTCTTGGCCACACACATCTCCATCAAGGATGGACACCTCAGTACCTCACTCTACCGCAAGCCCACAGATAACGTCATGACGCTGCACTTCTCCAGCTTTCACCCTAAACATACTAAAACAGCCATCCCCTATGGTCAAGCCCCACGCATACACAGGATTTGCTTGGATGAGGAGGAACGAGACAGACACCTGAAGGTGTTGAAAGACGCCCTCACATGAACAGGATAAGATGCTCAACTCATCGAACGCCAGTTCCAATGTACCACAGCGCGAAACCATAGTGACCTCCTCAGAAGACAGATACAGGATACATCCAATAGAGTACCCTTCATCGTCCAGTACTTCCCAGGAGTGGAGAGACTACGCCATGTTCTTCGCAACCTTCATCACATTATCGATGACAATGACCACCTCGCCAAGATCTTCCCCACGCCTCCACTTCTCGCCTTCAAACAACCGCCAAACCTTAAACAGACCATTGTTCGCAGCAAACGACCCAGCCTTCAGGCCAACATCGACCCCAACACTATACAAACCTGCCATGGTAACCTCTGTAAGACATGTCAGATCAGCGACATGGACACTACCATCACACGTGGGAACACCACCCACCACGTGTACAGCAGATACCCATGTGACTCAGCCAACGTTGTCTATCTCATACGCTGCAGGCAGGGATGCCCTGAGGAATGGGATATTGGTGAGACCATGCAGACACTATGATAACGGATGAATGGACACCGCGCAGCAATTGCCAGACAGGGATGTTCTCTCCCAATGGAGGAAGACTTCAGCGGTCAAGGGCACTCGGCCTCAGATCTTTGGGTAAACTTCAGGACACACAACAACGCAGAGTCGCTGAGCAGAGGCTGATAGCCAAGTTTGGTACCCATGAGGACGGCCTCAACTGAGATGTTGGGTTCATGTCGCACTACAGGTGACCCCACCACACTATACACTCTCATACACTCACACACACTCACACTTACACAAACACACACACACCCACACATACACACTTACACAAACACACTCTCACTTACACAAACACACACACTCTCACTTACACAAACACACTCTCTCTCACACACACACTCACACACGCGCACACATACACACACTCTCACTTACACAAACACACATACACACACACTGTCACTTACACAAACACACTCTCACACACTCACATACACATATACACACACACACTCTCACTTACACAAACACACACACATGCACTGTCACTTACACAAACACACACACACGCACTGTCACTTACACAAACACACTCT